AGTCTAGTGAATTAAACGCGCACCATAGTGTATTAACTTATTCGAATAGGTCTCAGGGAAACGGCCGCTTTTGCGAATTACAGGTTTGTTCGAATTTTGAAATGTTTCAAAAAAAGTTTTTGCGCATTTTCAATGAATCGCAGCTACTGTCTCCCACACTGCTCAGCTCCATGACTCATGTCATCACACCTGCCCTCGGGGGGAGGAGGAGTGCTGTCCGGGTCCTTGACACATGGGGGCCTCCACGCGGGCGCCCCCAGCGGGCTCCCGACCGCGGCTCCGCATACACAGCCCCTGTCTGGGTCATCGGGGGGTCCGCATCAGTAGCTTGTCAGCGGGGGAGGTGTTGGGGGCGCGTTCCTCCCCATTGGAGCTGCAAGGAGCGCGTGTCTGTGCGAACTTTACACAAACACGCGCGATCAGGTGAAAACCCCTGATCAGGTGACCCACCTTCATGGTGACCCCTCTGGGTCGAGGTGATCCCTCCTGGTCAGTGACCCCTGATCAGGTGACCCTTACTGGTCGGTGACCCTCTGGGTCGTACGCTCTGTTCAGGTGACGCTCTGGTCAGGTGACCCTCTATCAGTGAACCCTCGGATCAGGTGAACCCTCTTCAGTGATCCCTCAGGTCAGGTGACCCTCTGGTCAGGTGACCCTCTGATCAGGTGACCCTCTGGTCAGGTGACCCCTGGCAGGTCGACGCTCTGATTCAGGTGACGCTCTGGTCAGGTGACCCACTGATCAGTTGACCCTCTGATCAGGGACGCTACTGGTCAGTGACCCTCACTGGTCAGGTGTACCCCTACTGGTCAGGTGAACCCTCTGATCAGGTGACCCTCGGATCAGGGGACCCTCTGGTCAAGGTGACCTCTTTCAGGTGACAGCTCTGGTCAGGTGACCCTCTGATCAGGTGACACCCTCGGTCAGTGTCCCGCTGGTCTGGTGACCTCTGATTCAGGTGCGACGCTTCTGGTCAGGTGACCCTCTGACGCTCTGGCGTCAGGTGAGCGCTCTGGTCGTGCCCAGGCATCACCCAGTAGATTCGACGCCGCGTGACGGCGCGGTCAGGTGACCGCTCGCGCTCTGCGTCCCGCGCGCGCGCGGCCAGCGCGCGTCGGCCAGCGCACTAGGCCCCTCTCGCGGCCATAGCGAGAGAGATGCCATAGACGAGAGCGAGGCCATAGAGAGAGAGGCCCGAGAGAGAGACCAGAGACGAGAGGCCCGAGATAGAGGCCAGAGATAGAGGCACGAGAGAGAGACCAGAGAGAGAGACCAGAGAGAGATGACCAGAGAGAGAGGCCCAGAGAGCGAGGCCAGTAGAGAAGGCCATGAAGAGAGGCCAGCAGAGAGGCCAGAGAGAAGAGAGGCCAAGAGAGTGCCAGAGAGAGAGGCAGAGAGAGAGGCCTGAGAGAAGACCAGAGCAGAGAGACCAAGAAGAGAACCAGAGAGAGAGACCAGAGAGAGAGACAGAGAGAGAGACCAGAGAGAGAGACCAAGAGAGAGAAGCCCAGAGAGAGAGGCCAAAGAGAGAGACAGAGCGAGAGGCCCAGAGAGGAGGCCAGAGAGAGAGGCCAAGAGAGATACCAGAGAAGAGACCAGAGAGAGAGACCAAAGAGAGAGGGCCCCCCCAGAGTGAGAGACCATTGAGAGAGCCAGAGAGAGAGGCCAGAGAGAAGCAGAGAGGGAGGGGCCAAGAGAGGCCAGAGAGAGAGGCCAGAGAGAGAGACCAGAGAGAGAGGCCAGAAGAGAGAGACCAGAGAGAGAGACCAGAGAGAGAGACCAGAGAGAGAGACCAAGAAGAGACCAGAGAGAGAAGGCCAGAGAGAGAGGCCCAGTGAGAGAGGCCAGTGAGCGAGGCCAGAGAGAGAGGTCCAGAAGAGAGGCCAGAGAGAGAGACCAGAGAGAGAGACGGCAGAGAAGAGACCAAGAAACTAGTGATAGACCAACCTAACTAGAGCAGAACCAAGACTGATTTTTGTGGTCCACTTACCACCTTAAATAGTTAACTGTTACATTATTTTTTGTTTCTTTTTTAACATTATTATAGAAATTGAAATAATATAAATTCGATTTCCTTGTAATTGACAATAAAATTAGGCACCTTCTATGGACATACTACTCTTCTTTTGATATTGTTTTTGCATGCAACCCCAGTTCAAAAGTTTAGCTAGTTATACGTTCTATTAAGCTCAACATTTCTTTTTAGTCCTTTATTTTTTATGTTAGTTGATCTCTTCATCTAGATATGCTTACTCAATCCTATGACATCGCGATCAGTTTTGCTTGTGGTCCTGTTTTTTGATAATACTGCTGGTAACCCTCCTTTTTCTATTTTAGCCCCAGCCGGTGATAACACTCTTGACTTATTACTCTCTTTCTTCATATTGACTCACAGTATAACCATGCAACTACTTCATTATTAATTTTTTCACTGCTTTATTTGTACACATTTCCTATTATAACTACTATACACGATTTCCCTGTATTTGCTTTTATGAATTTAAGTAATAGCCTTATTTTTATTTTTTTTCTCTTCAGTTCATGTATTTGGATGCTTTCTGAGCTTCTGATGCATTACCTTTTTACCATAAGAATATCTGCTCTAAAAATGTCTGATTATCACGAAACTTGATCGCGCATCCTAACATACCATTAGCCCTTGCAATGCGTAATATTATTCAAGCTGTCGATAGTGTGGCCTGTATAGTCGTTAAGGTTTTCTTTGTCTTTTGGTTGCCATATTCATTATAATTAACACTCGTAATTTGTTTTACAAGTACTCCATTATCATTTTAATGTTTCTAGTATTCTTTTTATTTGTGGAGACCATATAAACTAATTATTGTAACATTTTTACTTAATCTTTTAATCATACTCGATACAAGACAACTCATTACTTAATTCGATTCTCATTTAATTCGAATCCTCCATCCCTTTAGGTCTATACACACTATATACCCATATGTTTTAATCTTCCATTTAATTTGTGAAGACGACTATAAATTTGCCGGCCACTCGAAATCTCTCTTTATGATTCGTTACTAAGACCGCATTTTTTTTTTTTGTCGTTTTTACCTATTTGTCTTATTCTTTTTTTTCCTCTAAACGAATTCTCTCTCTAACTCCTACCTATCCGTATATCTTAATATTTATTTATTCTATTTCCACTCTTTAATTTCGCTTGAGTAAAATTTCATTACATTGAGACATAGGACTATTAAAGATTTACCTTTTACCGTCGACAGTATTTTATAGTATTATTTTTATCCATATTGATAATCGGTTACTGGACTCAGACTTAACTTATTCAATTTCACAGCTACAGTTTCTACTGTCTGTTTCTTAATTAAGTGGACCACGTTATAGCCATTTTCTATGTTCTTTCTTCCGATTCTTTTCACGATATGTGCCATCTGTCATTCTTTTAATAATATATACTTGTTTTACTTCTATTGGCTTTCATTAATTGTAACTATCCGTATTTTCTCTCAGAATCCTTTGCTCTTTTTGTAAAGATTATACTTTTTTTTTGCTCTAAAATTCTCAAACACTTTCGTAACAGATTTCTAAGTTTCAAGCTTAAAAATCTCTTCAATAAAATAATATATCAGCATTTTTGGCAGATCCGCCCTCTTTATAAACCTACTCTATCTTCTCTTCTTCTCTTCTTTTACAGCATTATCCGCCTTTTCCGTTTGCTCTAACCTACTATTTTTATATTACCGTTTATATCTAACTGACACCAGTGTTCTAAGTGATTAAAGTACTTCTATAAATTTATAATTTCTATTATTCCACTGCTTTCTTGAATTTCATTCAATCATCTAATTACCGTTTTGTTAAATAAATCAACATTCTTCTAATCTCCCTCCTGATTTTATAGTTTTCTTTTATTAGTTCACTGTGAGTGATACATTGTTTCACGTGTTCAGATAGATAAAAAATTTGATTTTTGAACCTCGGCGTTCTTTCGCGTATACATTTAAATATGTTTAGTCTAATTCTAAGTTGCGTCTTTATTTCTGATCCTTCTTCAGTGGTGGTGTGAAAGTTACAGACCTCAGCTTTAATGCTTCCACCTCCTCCCTCTTCATCGGCGCTAACACCACAAATGTCACTCCTCTTCATCGCCTGAAACTGTTGAAATAATCTAAAACGACTGAACGTGACGGAGCGACACTTTGTCCTGTTTTTGTTGCCGTAGGGCTTTTGAGCAAGATTCAGATTCAGATTCATTTATTTGCCATTTGCAGGAAAACCACATTGGAAAAACTGTGCAAGACTACCCCGGTGTGCACCACACACACCAGAGCTCTTGCCACTGTAGACGCCGCGAGTCCAAGGAAAAACGGATGAACCTTTAACGAGATGTAAATGTTAACGAGCAGGTTTAACGGAGGGAGCGGCGCCGTGGCATTTATCTGCTGACATTTTACATGACGCGCTTTTAAGCACAATTCATTTATTTTTAGAAATCCGATGGTTCATATGACCTGTGTGCGTGTGTGTCTGTGTGTGTGTGTCTGGTCTCTTTCTGGTCTCTCTCTGGTCTCTATCTGGTCTCTCTCTGGTCTCTTTCTGGTCTCTCTCTGGTCTCTCTCTGGTCTCTTTCTTGTCTCTTTCTTGTCTCTTTCTGGTCTCTCTCTGGTCTCTCTCTTGTCTCTCTCTGGTCTCTCTCTGGTCTCTCTCTGGTCTCTTTCTGGTCTCTTTCTGGTCTCTCTCTGGTCTCTTTCTGGTCTCTTTCTGGTCTCTCTCTGGTCTCTCTCTTGTCTCTTTCTGGTCTCTCTCTGGTCTCTCTCTGGTCTCTCTCTTGTCTCTCTCTTGTCTCACTCTGGTCTCACTCTGGTCTCTCTCTGGTCTCTCTTTGGTCTCTTTCTGGTCTCTCCGAAATCCAAATACATGTATATATATTTAGATAGATAATTTCAGGTCCTAGCCTCACATTCCTAGTTCCTGGACCTCGCTGACCCTGACCTCATCCTGTCTGTTCTCCTCCTCAGCGGTTGGTCCAGTACCTCGCCTCCCGGAACACCCTCTTCAACCTCAACAACTTCCTGGACAAAGGAGCTCTCCAAGGTACCGCTGCAGAGAGAGAGAGAGAGAGAGAGAGAGAGAGAGAGAGAGAGAGAGAGAGAGAGAGAGAGAGAGAGAGAGAGAGAGAGAGAGAGAGAGAGAGAGAGAGAGAGAGAGAGAGAGAGAGAGAGAGAGAGAGAGAGAGAGAGAGAGAGAGAGAGAGAGAGAGAGAGTGAGAGAGAGAGAGAGAGAGAGAGAGAGAGAGATGAGAGAGAGAGAGAGAGAGAGAGAGAGAGAGAGAGAGAGAGAGAGAGAGATGAGAGAGAGAGAGAGAGAGAGAGAGAGAGAGAGAATTAATATTATTAATGTCTGGGAGCTCAAAGATGCTTCACATGTCATTACTTATTCTCTGCACATACAGAAACTATAAACTGCTTCTGTAGCCACAGCTGCCCTGGGGCACTCTGACAGAAGCGAGGCAACCAGTCTGTGCCATCGGCCCCTCCCACCACCAACCACCAACACACACACCAGACTCATTCTAATGTGGGGGAAGTGTCTTGCCTCAGGACACAACCACAGTTTGGCACTTTACAGCCACAGCCGCCCCACTGTGGCACCTGGTGTTCACAGAGGTCTCCCATCACAGCACTAACCTGGCCCTGCCCTGCTTAGCTTCAGAGGGTCTGGCTTTCACAGGTGGAGCCCCATCATTCTCATTCAACGCCTGTGTATATAAAAAAACATAAACACAAACACAAAGTGATTGTTTTAGAACCTGGAAGTGAGAAACATCACACTTAAAGCTCAGGTACGTAACTTTAGTCTCATACATTAAAGATGTCGAGTCTTTGTGAAAGTTAAATGTTGAACTGAGTCTTCATCTGAGGAGAAGGTGCACTTTATTAATCCCTGTTGGGCAATTGATCCTCTGCATTTGACCCATCCTGATGCCACTAAGGCGTCTGTCAGGAGCAGTGGCCGCCGTAGCAACAGCGCCGGGAACCATCTCCAGATTGGAAACATTTCTTTTAGTGGATCTTCTCTGGTTGGAACCTCTATGGCCTGGTGTAAACATGTTTGAACTGATTTATACTGATTTGACATGGTTTGAAAACCAGTTTAAAACCAGTTTATAGTAGTTGGAACTTGTTTGAACTGGCTTGAACTAGTATAAACTGGTTTGGACCGGTTTAAACTGGTTGGAACTGGCTATAACTGGCTCAACCCAGCAGTTATAGTCACTATAATAGTCACTTTATAATGTTGTTATTGTACATAATTTATCTTGCACAAAAGAAACTGCCTTCATTTTTAGCCTTCAGAACATGTTTGCACTCTTCCTCACACCCTGAATGATTCTATCCGTGCCAAATGTGACATGTACATTTCTCCACTGTGAGATCCATAAAGTTTGTCTAATCTTAAACTGGTTGGGACTGGTTTGTGAATGTTCCGGATCATGTGTGTCTCAGGTTACGACATGTCCGTGTTCATCCACCGCTACAGCCGCTACCTGAACGAGAAGGCCCTGTCCTACAGACTGGTGGCTGTGGACTTCACCAAGATGAAGAGAGGGTGAGACACACACATATGTACTGTACACACACACACACACACACACACACACACGTATAGACTGCGATGTCTTTGATCAGACTGTGACATCATAGATCACAGTGATGTCATAGTTAAGTGTTGCTCTGTTCAGAATCGATGGTGTGATGAGAAGCATGAACGCAGAGAAACTCATCAGGACTTTACCGATCATCCAGAACCAGCTGGACGCACTGCTGGACTTTCAGGTAACACACAAACACAATTAGCACACACAAAAAGCACACATTTTTACACAGTCTGTCCATGCAGAATCGAAACCAGGACCATCTTAAATGCAATGGCCATGTAGGAAAGCCTCCTCTGTGTGCTCTGTAGGCGGCCATGTTGGAAAGCCTTTGTGTGTGCTGTGTAGTCGGCCATGTTGGAAAGCCTCCTCTGTGTGCTCTGTAGTCGGCCATGTTGGAAAGCCTTTGTGTGTGCTTTGTAGTCGGCCATGTTGGAAAGCCTCCTCTGTGTGCTCTGTAGTCGGCCATGTTGGAAAGCCTCCTTTTTGTGCTCTGTAGTCGGCCATGTTGGAAAGCCTTTGTGTGTTCCCTGTTGTCGGCCATGTTGGAAAGCCTCCTTTGTGTGCTCTGTAGTCGGCCATGTTGGAAAGCCTTTGTGTGTTCCCTGTTGTCGGCCATGTTGGAAAGCCGCCTCTGTGTGCTTTTTATTCGGCCATGTTGGAAAGCCTCCTTTGTGTGCTCTGTAGTCGGCCATGTTGGAAAGCCTTTGTGTGTTCCCTGTTGTCGGCCATGTTGGAAAGCCGCCTCTGTGTGTCCATGTGAAGCTCAGAGCTGCGGTCTGGAAGAGAACTCACAAATCACCAGGTTCTTTGTGGTTTGGATGATGAAAAATGAATGAAGCTTTCTCCTTTTTTTCCTCGGTTTCTGGGAAAGGTTGAGGAAAGAAAAGCTGTTACAAGTTCTTTGACAAAACTTTAAATGTGGATTTCTCTGGGAGTTTAATGCATTAATTAAAGGCGCTATACCCGTTTCTGCAATGTTTGAATGTTTAGCCCCGCCCCCCAACTCGCTCAATGGCTTCTCATTTCCCCTACGCTCTCATCCCACGGAGCCACCTAGTTTTATTTGCGATCTGATATGTATGCTAACTAGGGCTGGGACAACGCGTCGACGTAATCGGTGACGTCGACGCAAAAAATACACCGACGTATAATATGCGCGTCGGTGCGTCACACACAAAACAAAGACGGCGGCGAGCGGTAGCAATGCGAGTGCCGTGTTAGAGAAGTGCAAGCCGGTGTAACGCTGAGATACACTGCCTTGAAGAGATGCACTTCCTCAGCTGTTGATCATGTAATGCAAACCTGCGTATGCGCGTCTCACGGCAGCCGAAGCAAACCAAGATGGCGGACCGTGAATTTCTTTAAAAGTTAAAATACGAACGAATTCAGACACGAATGTCACTTTTAATGCAATTTGAGGCGATATGTTGATGGTTCCGTTTTGTCACATGTGGGTTTTAAGAGTCAAAGTCTTGTGCAAAGTTTAGTTTAAGCAGTCAACTGCGCCTGTGAAACCACAAAGCTAATGTTTTCATAGCAGTCCGCGGCTGCTGACGTAGGCTGATGACACGTCCTGTGGCCACTCTACAGCTTACAACTGGTCTGTCTTTCTTTGTATCAAACGGAATATTGGCGCCCGTAATAGCCCCTACATGTATTATTCACTGTCATGCCCGCCGTATATGGACATTTTTCAACATGTGTTCAATATCCTTAATGTGTTTAACTGTTGATTGATTCTCTGATCTGTGTTGGTGACTTCAATGTTGTTTTAAGTCCTCTGAGATGACTTCTACTGTATTCTTTCAGTAACTCTAAAAGAAAGGATGACTGGTTGACCTTTTTATTTGCTACACAATGCATTGTTTTTCTCTTGTACACTCTTACTTGAATTTTATTTTTGAATTTTGAGTTTAAGAAAAAGGTGAGTGGCAGAGTTTTGACTGTTATTTTTATATGAATGAAGAATTTAAGAGATGCACTTTAATTAATGGACTTCAGTAATATAGGCCTATGTGTCTTCAACTTAAATGTTAAACTCTGTTGGTTCAGGAAGGACGCCATGACAGGCTGATGGCTCCCACTGTTTTTGCTGGAAAAGCACTCTTTGTTTAGCTTAAAGCCTTCAAGTTTACATTGGTTACTGTTTTCTTTTAGTTGCTCTACACAAGTATTTGGCTGAACTTTTTCATATTTTTATTGAATGCTAAGCATCAAATGTTTGTCTCAAGAATGATAAGATGCACTTTTTTCAGTAAGCTGTGTTTTCAAGGCTTCAAGGTTTTATGCTACCTCTAAGAATGTCTTATTTTTTAATTTTAAGAGCAAGCAATAAATATTTTTTGTGAAGGAATTCATGTTTTTTTTATTAAAATATTTAAATCAACATGTATACATCAATATTAGTTAATTAATGGGGAGATAATCGAGAATCGAATCGAAGCGAAAAAAATAATCGTTAGATTAATCGATGCATCAAAAAAATAATCGCTAGATTAATCGTTTAAAAAATAATCGTTTATCCCAGCCCTAATGCTAACATTAGCATTTGCACAAGTTCTTGTAGCCTGTACAACAATCACTGATGAAATGGTACAGAAGCAATGCACTGCTAACACAATATATAAGTTAAAGAATACCATTAGCCCGGACTCTGAGGAGCACAGGGACTGGCCTCCTGCTGGTGCCCAGAGTGAGAACCAAACATGGGGAGGCTGCGTTTCAGATCCATGCAGCTAAGATCTGGAACAATCTCCCTGAAAATGTGAGGGAGGCGTCTACTCTGTCAATGTTCAAATCCAGGTTAAAGACTGTTCTGTTTGCCTGTGCATACAACTGAAGGATGTTATCTCCATTTCTAATGCACTGCTGTCATTTTTTTTTTTTATTTTTTTTTTTTTTATTTTATTTTTTTTTAAATTTCTTGTGTAATTTTGAAAGTTTTAATGGTTTTATTCTTTTGTGTGATTTTAATGTTTTAATTGTGTTTTAATCTTTTGTGTGATTTTAATGTTTTAATTGTGTTTTAATCTTTTGTGTGATTCTAATGTTTTAATTGTGTTTCTGGTGTTTGTTTTATGTGATGATTTGTGATGTGGACTGTGAAGCGCTTTGTGTTGCCCTGTGTATGAAAGGCGCTCTACAAATAAACTTTGATTGATTGATTGATTAGTTTCGTGTCCGAATGTATTAATTTAAACATTAGAATATATTCTAATATTTAATTATAATTTATTATACAGCTCCTCACAGCAGCAGTAGAACACTCCATTGACGTAAATGTAATTCTTCCGATCATTTTTTCTTGATAACAGAACTCTCAAACCAATAATGACCGCAGCCCCAATGCAATCTCTGTTTGTAATTCAGGTGGGTAAAATACTGCCATTACTTTGCAAGTACAACAAGCTATCAGCGCCTGTCACTATACACTTGTCTGTGTAGAGAAGCTAGCGGAGCTAGCCACGCTCAATAAACAAATACATATCTTTCAATCGACACCATTAAACGTCAATAGGACAATACAGTATACACATACATCCTTAACACACATGCACGGACCATTTCAGAATTTGCTGTCAACCTTTTCATGACAAAAATACTGTTTTAAAGTGACAAAAAGCGATCGCAAAAAACAGGGAAGTTACCATGAAACAGCTAGCTAGCTTAGCTGTTACCTGCCTAGCACGTCCCGGTGAAACTTTTGGGAGCTAACTATTTTATTTGCAGTCATTAAATACATTTCGAATTATAAGGGTTGTCTAATATGTGTTCGAATTAGGGATGTAAAAAACTATGAATTTTCATGACCGACCACCGAGCCTCATTAACCGGTTGAAACCGGTTAACCGCGTAGTTTAAAATAGTCCACGTTCTTTGAAATAACAGCCATTTCGAGCCGCGTACTTTTCATAAGTGCAGCTCTGCGTTCTACTGGATCAGAGCCGAGACAGCGCCGCCCAAACCCGCAACAGCTCCGGCACCTTTGCGCACAGAGAACTGCTTTTTTAATCTTCCCATTCTGCTGTGCTGCGGGTTAATACCAAAACTTTCTAGCAGCAAACGACGTTCACATGGTCAGAGCAGCGAGTGACGAGCCGCGTCTCACAGGTCTTCACAAAAGTTTAAATACAAGTGATGTGTGTGGAGCTGATCCCGAGGACCATAAACACAAACATGTTCCATGTGGTTTGACTGGAGCCGTGTATTTGCGCGAATCCTTTGGGCTCCGTGACACAGAGGAGCGCGACAGACCGGTATGTGTGTGTGTATGTATGTGTGTGTGTATGTGTGTGTGTGTGTATATGTGTGTGTGTGTAAATGTAAGCTCCAATGTAGTTCTGACCCGCGCCAGTGTGCAACTTTGACGGTAAAAGAGGGGAGAGATGATGCGTGTGGATGTTACGTATGGAGAGGGGGAAAGTGTGTGTGCGTGTGTGTGTGTGTGCGCGTGCATATGTGGCTCGTGCGGCGTGAGAGTCGTCCCGGAGTTTATAATACATGGGCGCACACAGCTAGATACAGACCCGCTCGTCACACCGTGCAAATAGGGCTTAAAATAGCGTTATTAAGAGACCTCCCCTCTCCCCTTTTTCTCTTTTTTAACCGACAGCTTTGACCGGTTAACGCTGTGACGGTCAACCACCGGTTAAACGGTCGCCGATTTACATCCCTAGTTCGAATATATATTTTTTTAATTTTAGAATTATATTCAAATTTTGAAGTCGCAGCCCTGGTGTTTAGCAGCGCTGTAGAGGTTAGAGGACGCAGGCTGTAGAGGCTAGAGGACGCAGGCTGTAGAGGCTAGAGGACGCAGGCTGTAGAGGCTAGAGGACGCAGGCTGTAGAGACTAGAGGACACAGGCTGTAGAGACTAGAGGACACAGGCTGTAGAGGCTAGAGGACGCAGGCTGTAGAGACTAGAGGACGCAGGCTGTAGAGACTAGAGGACGCAGGCTGTAGAGGCTAGAGGACACAGGCTGTAGAGACTAGAGGACGCAGGCTGTAGAGACTAGAGGACGCAGGCTGTAGAGACTAGAGGACGCAGGCTGTAGAGGCTAGAGGACGCAGGCTGTAGAGACTAGAGGACACAGGCTGTAGAGGCAGAGGACACAGGCTGTAGAGACTAGAGGACGCAGGCTGTAGAGGCTAGAGGACACAGGCTGTAGAGGCAGAGGACACAGGCTGTAGAGACTAGAGGACGCAGGCTGTAGAGGCAGAGGACACAGGCTGTAGAGGCTAGAGGACGCAGGCTGTAGAGGCTAGAGGACGCAGGCTGTAGAGACTAGAGGACGCAGGCTGTAGAGACTAGAGGACACAGGCTGTAGAGACTAGAGGACACAGGCTGTAGAGGCTAGAGGACACAGGCTGTAGAGACTAGAGGACACAGGCTGTAGAGACTAGAGGACACAGGCTGTAGAGACTAGAGGACACAGGCTGTAGAGACTAGAGGACGCAGGCTGTAGAGGCAGAGGACACAGGCTGTAGAGGCAGAGGACACAGGCTGTAGAGGCAGAGGACACAGGCTGTAGAGACTAGAGGACGCAGGCTGTAGAGGCAGAGGACACAGGCTGTAGAGGCTAGAGGACACAGGCTGTAGAGGCTAGAGGACACAGGCTGTAGAGGCTAGAGGACGCAGGCTGTAGAGGCTAGAGGACGCAGGCTGTAGAGACTAGAGGACACAGGCTGTAGAGGCTAGAGGACACAGGCTGTAGAGACTAGAGGACGCAGGCTGTAGAGGCTAGAGGACACAGGCTGTAGAGACTAGAGGACACAGGCTGTAGAGACTAGAGGACGCAGGCTGTAGAGGCTAGAGGACGCAGGCTGTAGAGACTAGAGCAGTGGTTCCCAACCTTTCTTGGTCTGTGTACCCCCTGGGCTTGTGAGTGAAGTCATGAGTACCCCCATATGCATTTTTTTTTTCTACAACAATTCGTTTATTTCGTTTAATGTAACATTTTATGCAACTGTTTGTATACAAATTTGCATATAAATCAAACACCTTCACATTCATTTGCTATATTCAATATATTTTCTTTTCAGAATCCAAATGAAATGCTTATTGAAAAATATTTTAACATGACGGCTTACACAGAACACGATAGGCCTTTTAAAATAATTAGTCTTAATTTTCTTAGAAGTCAATGAGATGCTTGAGCTTGCTTTTCTCCCATCAGTTTACTTATATCAGGGGACAATGAGGCAACAGCTGTAATCAGGCTGCTCTCCACAGCCAGCCTGTTTCTGTGTTTAGTTTTAATGTGTGTCAAAGCAGAGAAAGTCACTTCACATAAGTAAGTAGATCCAAAAGGTAACAGTTCAGACAATGCACGTTTTCCAAGATCTGCATACTCCTTCTCCACATCACACCAAAACTCAGTCAGTGTCTTTGTAGTATGTCCCATCTTCAGTCCACGGTCAGAGAATAAATCCATGAGTTGCTCCTGCAGCACTGCTGGAAGATTCTTGCTGCTTTCACTCATGATAAAGGGGTTCCTCACCCAATCAAGTCTTTCTGAATGTTTGTCAATGTCCTGGAAATACTGATTAAAATCAGTGCTGAGCTTGGTCAGATGTGCTTTCACTATTTTGACTACTGCCCGCCTGGGTAACTCACTGGTAGTAAGGTGAGTTTGAAGTAGTGGGAAACAGCTAACATCCATCTCATCACACTTCCTCAACCATAGCTCAAGCTTCTTAGTGAATCCTTTCACTTTGTCATACATGTTGAGAATGTGTGACTCTTTGCCTTGGAGTGACAGGTTGAGCTCGTTGAGTTTTGAAAAAACATCGGCCAGGTACGCAAGACGTGCCACCCACTCAGCATCCTCGAACACGACCGCGAGACTGTGCTGATGCTCTTTAAGAAACACATAAACCTCATTATGAAGTTCATAAAGCCTCAGTAGTGTTTTCCCGCGAGACAGCCAGCGCACGTCCGTATGAAGCAGAAGCTGTTCGTGCTCGGTGCCGCTCTCCTGACACAGCGTTTGGAAAAGTCTGCGGTTGAGTGGACGCGAGTGAATAAAGTTGATTACTTTTACGGCATCGTCTAAAACGGCGCTCAACTCAGGGCTCACTCTCTTGCTGGCCAAGGCTTCGCGATGGATAATACAGTGCAACCATTTGATCTCGGTATTTACCTTTTTCACCTGGCCAAGAAGTCCCTTTACTCCCCCGGACATAGCAGCAGCGCCGTCTGTGCAGATGTGCGTACAGTACGTCCACTCAATATCGTACTCTTTAAAAAAGCTGTCGATCACCTGGAATATCTCTTCACCCGTTGTCTTTCCTGGCAGTGCTTTGCAAAATAGTACGTGCTCATTTATGTCCGATTCATCTTTGTACCGTACAAACGCTAAGAGCTGGGCTTCTCCGCTGACATCTGTCATTTCATCCAGCTGGAGAGCAAAGTGTCCCGCTCGCCTCATTTTAGACACTACTTGCTCCACAATATTGCTTGACATATCAGCGATTCGTCGGGACACTGTGTTGTTTGACAACGGGACTGTTTTGAATGCGTCTGCTGCTCTTTTATCAATCATTTTTTCAGCCAAAGCAGTCGCGGCAGGGAGGATCAGTTGTTCGACTATTGTATGTGGCTTTTTGGATTTGGCCACAAGCAATGACACGGCGTAGGAGGCCTCCAACGCTTTGCTTGAGACACTTGCGGCCTTTTTAATGACGGACTGACTCGTCTTAAATCCCATCAGCTTTCGTTTGTAAAACTCTTCCGCTTTACCCGCACTTTCTGGATGTTTTGTGGTCAAGTGTCGCTGTAGATGTGATGGCTTCATCGAGGTGTTAGCCAAGACCTCGCCGCAAAAGAAACACTGAGGCTGCGGAGGATCCGCCGAGGTGCAGGTGAATCCATACAACAGGTATTTATCACAGAACTGTCTTTGCTTTGATTTTGTATCTTTCTTACGCTTTTCCATCGTCTCAGCAGAATGTTCATCAGAGTCTGGAGTGATCGTAATCGGGCGTTTGAGCCACCTATCCATGCTAGCTGTCGTATTTTTCCACTGTTTTGATGTTTAGGCGCGCAGCGTGTCACAGTTTATGCCTCCCGGAGGTACAATTAGGACAATTAAAACAATAGTACATGTGTTATAAATGTTGTATTAAGACTTTTATTAAGTGACACCCGTATTGACACCGTTTTTACTTTATTCTGCATTACCACAATTTTTTTTTTAAATTATTGGCAGAATTTTCTTATTTTTTTTTTTTTCACCACGTACCCCCTGCAACGTCCCCGCGTACCCCCAGGGGTCCGCGTACCCCCGGTTGGGAAAGACTGGACTAGAGGACGCAGGCTGTAGAGACTAGAGGACACAGGCTGTAGAGACTAGAGGACGCAGGCTGTAGAGGCTAGAGGACGCAGGCTGTAGAGGCTAGAGGACACAGGCTGTAGAGACTAGAGGACACAGGCTGTAGAGGCTAGAGGACACAGGCTGTAGAGGCTAGAGGACACAGGCTGTAGAGACTAGAGGACGCAGGCTGTAGAGACTAGAGGACACAGGCTGTAGAGGCTAGAGGACACAGGCTGTAGAGACTAGAGGACGCAGGCTGTAGAGACTAGAGGACACAGGCTGTAGAGACTAGAGGACACAGGCTGTAGAGACTAGAGGACACAGGTTGTAGAGACTAGAGGACACAGGCTGTAGAGACTAGAGGACACAGGCTGTAGAGACTAGAGGACACAGGCTGTAGAGACTAGAGGACACAGGCTGTAGAGACTAGAGGACACAGGCTGTAGAGACTAGAGGACACAGGCTGTAGAGGCTAGAGGACACAGGCTGTAGAGACTAGAGGACGCAGGCTGTAGAGACTAGAGGACACAGGCTGTAGAGACTAGAGGACGCAGGCTGTAGAGGCTAGAGGACACAGGCTGTAGAGACTAGAGGACGCAGGCTGTAGAGGCTAGAGGACACAGGCTGTAGAGACTAGAGGACGCAGGCTGTAGAGGCTAGAGGACACAGGCTGTAGAGACTAGAGGACGCAGGCTGTAGAGACTAGAGGACACAGGCTGTAGAGGCTAGAGGACACAGGCTGTAGAGGCTAGAGGACGCAGGCTGTAGAGACTAGAGGACGCAGGCTGTAGAGACTAGAGGACACAGGCTGTAGAGACTAGAGGACACAGGCTGTTCACTGCTCGGAGAACGGAGGAGGAGGAGAACGTCCCGCTCAGACTCTACTCAGCACTTTTCACGGCATAAATTTCATAAACATCTGTACCAGGACTGAGATCAAGACCTGAACCAAGACCAAGACCAGGACAAGGACCAGGACCAAGACCAAGACCAGGACCAAGACCAGGACCAAGACCAAGACCAGGACCAAGACCAGGACCAGGACCAAGACCAAGACCAGGACCAAGACCAGGACCAAGACCAGGACCAAGACCAGGACCAGGACCAAGACCAGGACCAAGACCAGGACCAGGACCAAGACCAGGACCAAGGACCAGGACCAAGACCAGGACCAAGACCAGGACCAAGACCAGGACCAAGACCAAGACCAGGACCAAGACCAGGACCAAGACCAGGACCAAGACCAAGCATGTGAAAGCTAGTGATCGAAGCTACTGTCTTAGAGCCAGGAACCAGTGACATGGCGTTTATTACAGAGTTTTATAGTTGTGGTCTGAAAGTTACGTCCCCCAGCTTTAATCCCCGCCCTCTCTCCTCACGTCTGTTTTTTTCTGGTTCTGTGTTTTTAGGCGAATCCCAACGAGCTGACGAACGGAGTGATCAACGCGGCCTTCATGCTTCTGTTCCGAGACTCCATCCGACTGTTCGCTGCTTACAACGAGGGCGTCATCAACCTCCTGGGTACAACATGCTCCTGCAGCCAATCAGCTCTCTGCCCAAAGAGTCAAAGAGCGACTCCGTGGGCCCCTCAGCTCGTCTGTGTGTGCACTAATGTGTGTGTGTTTGGACAGAGAAATACTTCGACATGAAGAAGAACCAGTGCAAAGACGCCCTGGACATCTACAAGAAGTTTCTCTATCGCATGACCAAGCTGTCAGAGTTCCTCAAAGTGGCAGAGGTACTTCCACCAACACCAGAGAGAGGGGGGGGAGGGGGGGGGGGGAGGAGGGAGGGAGGAGGAGAAGGGGGGGGGGGGGGGAGGATGGAGGGAAGAGGAGAAAGATGGAGGGAGGAATAGAAGGATGGAGGGAGGAAGGAGTAGAAGGATGGAGGGAGGAGAAGAAGGGAGGAATGAGTAGCGGGTGGGAGAGAAGGAAGGCGGAGAAGGGGAGGAGAGGAGAAGGGAGGGGGGGAGGATGAGGAGAAGGATGGAGGGAGGAAGGAGTAGAAGGATGGAGGGAGGAGGAGAAGGGAGGAATGAGTAGCGGGTGGGAGAGAAGGAAGGGAGGAGAAGGGAGGAGAGGAGAAGGGAGGGGGGGAGGATGAGGAGAAGGATGGAGGGAGGAGGAGAAGGGAGGAGGAGATAGGAGAGGAAGAGCAGGGAGGAGAAGTAGAAGGGGGGAGGAGGAAAAGGGAGGGGTGAGGGGAGGAGGAGTAGTAACAGTAGTAGTAACAGTAGTAGTAACAGTAGTAGTAACAGTAGTAGTAACAGTAGTAGTAACAGTAGTAGTAACAGTAGTGGTAACAGTAGTAGTAACAGTAGTGGTAACAGTAGTAGTAACAGTAGTAGTAACAGTAGTAGTAACAGTAGTAGTAACAGTAGTAGTAACAGTAGTAGTAACAGTAGTAGTAACAGTAGTAGTAACAGTAGTAGTAACAGTAGTGGTAACAGTAGTAGTAACAGTAGTAGTAACAGTAGTAGTAACAGTAGTAGTAACAGTAGTAGTAACAGCAGTAGTAACAGTAGTAGTAACAGTAGTAGTAACAGTAGTAGTAACAGTAGTAGTAACAGTAGTAGTAACAGTAGTAGTAACAGTAGTGGTAACAGTAGTAGTAACAGTAGTAGTAACAGTAGTAGTAACAGTAGTAGTAACAGTAGTAGTAACAGTAGTAGTAACAGTAGTAGTAACAGTCGTCTCCTCGCCCCACATACATACTGTTTATTAGTGAGGGGCAAATGTCCGCTCAGCTCCTGCTCTTCTCCTCTGACAAAGATGGATGAACGCTGCTGTTTCCCATCATGCACTGCTCCTGCTGCTTACACACAACACACTTCAAACCATGAAAATCACAAACACACACCACGAACACAAGAGGGTTTTTAAAAGAGCTAAACAGGAAGTCAATTGGAATGGGAGCTGAAATGGAGCGGGCTAGCTAGTTCACTGTTAGCATCAATCCTTAAAAAGGCAACAACATCTACTTATGAAATGAACTGAGCACTTGTTATTGTACATAAACTGTGCTATCGCAGAAATACAGTACTAGCAACGCAGACTTTCACCATTTAATTAAACCAGTAACTCCAAGATGGCCGCCCGTTCATTTGAAAGTACCGCTTTGTCACTCTCAAAAGACGTGAAAAAACCTTAGCTAACAATTTAACATTAGCTATTTTGTTGTTACTTTTTTGTGTATGTACAAGCTAGCATTCAACTGGGGATTATACAATTTTCCAATATTAGCAAATCTGCTTTAAGACTGTAAAAATTGTTTTGTATAAATTCAAATCATTAACCAATTATATGAACAAATAATTTACCATTTTAATGAAAACCATTTCGACCACTTTAAGCTTTTTATGAAAATCTTGTATCATTAAATGTCTTTCTTTGGACTTTTGATATAATCCCTTAAAATCTTACTTTTAAATTAGTTTTTTAAAAAGTAGGATCTTTAGAATAGTTTTTTGTAATGACCACAAAAATGAATCACAATGTTTTTACGAAATGATCACAATTGGGTATTTAACCACAATCATGCAGCCCGACTCCTTACACCATTATCTGCTTCGGACATTGCCTGGCCTGCCAAACGATATGCTTTTTCAAAGACATATAGTCTGGGAACGAGCTTGATCTCAGCGAATTCCCGGTGGGCGTGGTTGACAGACTGCATCAACCAATTAGATCCATACAGGATATGACGCAGCAACTAGCGGCACCCAAGCCGTTTCAGTAAACACAAAACAAGGGATGGCGGCATGTCAGCTAGTGCAAATGTAAACGACTGCTGTCGATTTTGTAAAAAAAACTTAAAGATACGAGGAGTTATTAGCAACTCAAAGGTGAAAGGAAGTCCCGCCTCTCGGTGCGTGATTGGACCGATGTGGGTAAAATCGTGAAATGATAGGCTAGGAAGAGGTGTCCAGACGGTTCTTCTTTTGAACAGAAAGGAGGAGTGTCTGGCAGGCCAGGCAACTTCGGACAGAGGGCCGTTCGATGCCGCTTGCGGATTTAATTTTCTTTTTTGTTACATGATCCCAGTTTTCAGCCTAAATCTCTAAACCAGGTCTGTGTGGACTCTGAAACATTATCCGTGTGTACTTCTGTCCACATCAGTCCAAAATATCTATGTTTTAAAGGTGTCACCCCCTCATGGTCCACGTGCCTCATGGTCTCCCTCATCAGCCACGCCTCACACCGTCATGTCCCAAAGCACCGCACGGATTTTCATGTTTATTTGTGTTGTTTTTTTACATTCCGCATGAGTATTTCTCCTGAACTGTCCATTTTGCCTCCTCCTCTCCTCTGTATGATTTCTCCATCTGGACGACAGCAGGTGGGCATAGATCAGGGCGACATCCCCGATCTCTCTCAGGTCAGTTTCATCCACTCACTTTGTTTTGCCTCCGTGCTCCTCTCTCTCTCCTGCTTCACCTGTCGTCACGTCGCATTCTCATGTCACTGTTACGGCTGCCTTAAAGCTGAGGTACCTGACTTTCTGTGTGTTATTAATGCCACATGTTGTTTGTCCCAAGAGAAAGGGTAAAATGTTGTGAACAAGTCAGACCACAACATGCTGTGTTCATCTCATTAGAAAACATGTGAAAGAAAGAGCCCAGTGAGTCAGTATTGGACTCTTTGGGCTGAGAGCTGATTGGCTGATCCAATGATGTGTGAAAACTAGTGATAGAACCTCTCTGGTCTCTCTCTCCCTGGTCTTTCTCTGGTCTCTCTCTGGTCTCTCTCTCTCTGGACGCTCTCTGGTCCGTATCTGACTGGTCTCTCTCTCTCTCTGGTCTCTCCTTGGTCTCTCTCTCTCTCTGGTCCGTCTCTGGCTCTCTCTCTGGTCTCTCTTTTGTCTCTTTCTGGCCCCTCTCTGGTCTCTCTCTCTGGTCTCTCTCTCTGGTCTCTCTGGTCTGTCTCTCGTCTCTCTCTGGTCTCTCTCTGGTCTCTCTCTCTGGTCTCTCTCTGGTCTCTCTCTGGTCTCTCTCTGGTCTCTCTGGTCTCTCTCTGGTCTTTCTCTCGTCTCACTCTGGTCTCTCTCTAGTCTCTCTCTGGTCTCTCTTTTGTCTCTCTCTGGTCCCTCTCTGGTGTCTCTCTGGTCTATCTCTGGTCCCTCTCTCTGGTCTCTGTTCTCTGGTCTCTCTGTTCTCTGGTCTCTCTGTTCTCTGGTCTCTCTCAGCCAATCAGCTCTCAGCCCAAACAGTCTAATAGTGACTCACAGGGATCTCTCTGACACTAACGATAATGTTTTCTGAGATTTGGTCTGATTTGTCCACATTATATCTGTGGACTCCGGTGCCTACAGTTTGTTCTCTTCATGATTAAATATTGATGCTCAAAGGTTTCACGGGAAACTTTTCAATCTCAGAAAAGTGAGAACCTCCTATAGACCTCTCCTCACGCCGCGGCCAACGAAGAGACTGTAGGACCAGAACAGCTCATAACGAGGGAGGCCAGACCAGTATCAGCCTCACAGCAAAACTTTAGGGCCGTGTTGAGCTGGGACTGCAATGGGAAAGGTTGGTGTGTTGTTTGGACCCGTGTCGACGTCTCACAGCGGGGAAGAGGAGATAAGGCTTCTTCTAATTAGCCCTTTGCTAGTTGTAGTTTTGTTTTGATATTTCAAATGTTTCTTTCCACACGCTGCTAAACATGTGATCCAGGCCAACATCCTGCGAGAACTGTCTTTCCTCAGATCTATTATCTTTCCTGTCTCTGGTTTCTCTCGCTCTCTCTGGTCTCTCTCTCTGTGGTCTCTCTCTTTGGTCTCTCCGGTCTCTCTGTCTTGTTTTCTCTAGTGTCTCTCTCTGCTCTCTCTCCGGTCTCGCTCTGGTCTCTCTCTGCTCTCTCTCTGGTCTCTCTCTTCTCTCTCTGGTCTTTCTCTGGTCTCTCTCTCTGGTCTCTCTCTGGTCTCTCTGGTCTCTTTCTCTGGTCTCTCTCGCTGGTCTCTCTCTGTTCTCTCTTGTCTCTTTCTGGTCTCTTTCTGGTCTCTCTCTGGTCTCTGTCTGGTCTCTCTCTGGTCTCTCTCTGGTCTCTGTCTGATCTCTCTGGTCTCTCTCTGGTCTCTCTCTCTCTGGTCTCTCTCTGGTCTCTCTCTGATCTCTCTGGTCTCTCTCTCTGGTCTCTCTCTCTGGTCTCTCTCTCTTGTCTCTCTCTGGTCTCTCTCTCTCTGGTCTCTCTCTGGTCTCTCTCTGGTCTCTCTCTGGTCTCTCTCTCTCTGGTCTCTCTCTCTTGTCTCTCTCTGGTCTCTCTCTGGTCTCTCTGGTCTCTCTCTTGTCTCTCTCTCTGCTCTCTCTGGTCTCTCTCTGGTCTCTCTCTGGTCTCTCTCTGGTCTCTCTCTCTGGTCTCCCTCTGGTCTCTCTCTCTGGTCTCTCTCTGGTCTCTCTCTGGTCTCTCTCTGGTCTCCCTCTGGTCTCTCTCTCTGGTCTCTCTCTGGTCTCTCTGGTCTCTCTCTGGTCTCTCTCTGGTCTCTCTCTGGTCTCTCTCTGGTCTCTCTCTGGTCTCTCTCTGGTCTCTCTCTGGTCTCTCTCTGGTCTCTCTCTCACTAAGGTTGAGCTTATACAGGATCAGTGTCACCACCGGACGCCTGTGTTTGGACAAATACAGATTATTTAAGGCGGACTTTTTACATGAGGAATAACAGACACGGCACGTTCACACTGGACTAAGATCCCAGACTGATGCGGTGGGATCAGGACTTCGTTCCAACACATTTCCCGGAGGGTTTCTTCCCTGGGAGCTTCATGGAGACTGGGAAGTGTGTTTGGATCTGAGTGTGTGGAAAGCTTTTAAAATCAGGGTTTGTGTTTTTCTCCCTCACGCTGCTGCAGAAAACTAAAGGGACTTATCTCGTAGGTGTCCTCTGCATGTGCATGAGGTGTCTGTGCTCGTTCACTCTGAGGCCCAGAGGGAGACCAGAGGGAGACCAGAGGGAGACCAGAGGGAGACCAGAGGGAGACCAGAGGGAGACCAGAGGGAGACCAGAGAGAGGCCAGAGAGAGACCAGAGAGAGACCAGAGAGAGACCAGAGAGAGACCAGAGAGAGACCAGAGAGAGACCAGAGGGAGACCAGAGGGAGAGACCAGAGAGAGACCAGAGAGAGACCAGAGAGAGACCAGAGGGAGACCAGAGGGAGACCAGAGAGAGACCAGAGAGAGACCAGAGAGAGACCAGAGAGAGACCAGAGAGAGAGACCAGAGAGAGAGACCAGAGAGAGACCAGAGAGAGAGACCAGAGAGAGACCAGAGAGAGACCACAGGGAGACCACAGGGAGACCAGAGAGAGACCAGAGAGAGACCAGAGAGAGACCAGAGAGAGACCAGAGAGAGACCAGAGAGAGACCAGAGGGAGACCAGAGAGAGACCAGAGAGAGACCAGAGAGAGACCAGAGAGAGACCAGAGAGAGACCGAGAGAGACCAGAGAGAGACCAGAGAGAGACCAGAGGTAGACCAGAGGTAGACCAGAGGGAGACCAGAGGGAGAGACCAGAGAGAGCCCAGAGAGAGAGACCAGAGAGAGACCAGAGAGAGACCAGAGAGAGAGACCAGAGAGAGACCAGAGAGAGACCAGAGAGAGACCAGAGAGAGACCAGAGAGAGACCAGAGGGAGACCAGAGAGAGACCAGAGAGAGACCAGAGAGAGAGACCAGAGGGAGACCAGAGGGAGAGACCAGAGAGAGACCAGAGAGAGAGACCAGAGGGAGACCAGAGGGAGAGACCAGAGAGAGACCACAGGGAGACCACAGGGAGACCAGAGAGAGACCAGAGAGAGACCAGAGAGAGACCAGAGAGAGACCAGAGAGAGACCAGAGAGAGACCAGAGAGAGACCAGAGAGAGACCAGAGAGAGACCAGAGGTAGACCAGAGGTAGACCAGAGGTAGACCAGAGGTAGACCAGAGGTAGACCAGAGGTAGACCAGAGGTAGACCAGAGGTAGACCAGAGGGAGACCAGAGGGAGACCAGAGGGAGAGACCAGAGAGAGCCCAGAGAGAGAGACCAGAGAGAGACCAGAGAGAGACCAGAGAGAGACCAGAGAGAGACCAGAGAGAGACCAGAGGGAGACCAGAGGGAGACCAGAGGGAGACCAGAGAGAGACCAGAGGGAGACCAGAGAGAGACCAGAGAGAGACCAGAGAGAGACCAGAGAGAGACCAGAGAGAGACCAGAGAGAGACCAGAGAGAGACCAGAGAGAGACCAGAGAGAGACCAGAGAGAGACCAGAGGGAGAGACCAGAGAGAGACCAGAGGGAGAGACCAGAGGGAGACCAGAGAGAGAGACCAGAGGGAGACCAGAGAGAGAGACCAGAGGGAGACCAGAGGGAGACCAGAGAGAGAGAGACCAGAGAGAGAGAGAGAGAGAGACCATAGCAAGAGACAGTAGAAAGAGAGAGACATGCTCATTAACAGGGACTTTATGCCGTTTATAGACTTGAAGTGTCTGAGTCTTGCACGACTCTAGACTTCAAAGCACTGACTGGATTATGTTATTTTCTGTTTTTTAAATTTGTTTTTGCACTTTTTGTTGTAAAAACCTGAAAACGTGTCTGTGTCTGTTCTCCGTCTGTTAGCTCTGCACGAGTGTCGTCCTCTACAGCCGCTGCAAAAACACAAAAAGACACATTTTCAATACATTTTTCTCCATTTTCCTCAAATTTTGATTCTGATTTTAAGACACAAATGTGAACTAATGATCAGTGGGATTTAGATTCAGTCAAGAATGAAAGAAATGGTTTAATATTTATTTTATTTATAACTGTATGAGAGTGTTCTGTGTTTAAAGGTCCCGTCTGTCGCTCTTCTTCATGTTTCTCAGCCCGAGTTAAACACATGTGTGATGATTATTAGGTCGATAAAACACTTAAAACAAAAGCATTTCGAGTTGTATGTCCTCGATCCTGAATCAGACCCTAATTATTTACTTTACAGAAGTATACGGCGAGTTAGCATCACAGTACGTACACGTCTATGGTCCTCGTTAGCATCTTTTGTCGTGGGGATAACGCCATGTTTCAGGATCAGGTTCTGAGTGAGTCCAGTTTCATGGTCCCTGTAGTTATCTTCAGGCTGGCCTTAGCATCTGCCCACTACCCATGAATATTAGCTTAATTTAGCTAACTCCGGCACATTTATACTGTATAATGTTGGTGAATGTGTTCCGTTTCAAATAAATAAATAATAAATTGTTCTGGACAGGTTCGTAGCAGATCTCGTGAATGTTTTCGTCTTTGGGCCAAATAGTGCGTTAAATATTTACACTAAAAACACTGTTTCTCCAATTTGACATGATGCTAACACCTTTAGCCGCTAACGATAGCAGAGAAACCATGTGGTGGACGTGGGACTATACGCTGAACCCGGTTTGGGGCTCCCTGATTCGCCGTTTTGATTTCTCACCTGTCAATCATCTCCTGGGGGCGGGGCTTCTGCAGCGTCATCAAAGTGAACGGAGGAGTTTGCTGCCTCTGAATGAAGGAGAAAGATTGATCTCGAACTAAAGCTTGAAGAATGAATGAAAACACAACTCTGGGCAAATATCACAGTATTTATGTTTAAAGGAGAGAAAAGTCAAAAAGTGTGATATGGGACCTTTAAAATATGTTTAAAGCAGTTCACTGGAGCTGTTTTTGCAGTGGTCTGTTCTGTGCATCTCGTCTGGTCCTGACTCTGGTCCTCTCCTGTGGTCCTGACTCTGGTCCTCTCTCTGGTCCTCTCCTCTGGTCCTCACTCTGGTCCTCTCCTCTGGTCCTCTACTCTGGTCCTCTCCTCTGGTCCTCTCCACTGGTCCTCACTTTGCCTTTGGTCCTTTTTGTCCCTGCAGGCTCCCAGTTCTCTCCTGGAGGCCCTGGAGCAGCACCTGGCCTCACTGGAGGGACGCAAGACCAAGGAGCTGAGCGCAGACACCAGGTGAGAGACCAGAGGAAAGACCAGAGGAGAGAGAGACCAGAGAGAGAGAGAGACCAGAGAGAAACCAGAGAGGGACCAGAGAGGGACCAGAGAGGGACCAGAGAGGGACCAGAGAGGGACCAGAGAGAGACCAGAG